CCAAAGTCTGTACGTCTGCCCCAAAACCTGTACGTCTGTCTAAAAGCCCACATATCTGTCCCAACGCCTCTACGTTTGTCTGAAAGTCTGCATTCTGTCCCTAAGCATGTACGTCTTTTACAAAAGACTGTACTTATTTTGCCAAAGTCTGTAAGTCTGTCCCAAAGTCTGTACATCAAAGCTAGTCCGTCTGTCTGTTAAGCGGTACATCAATCCGTAGGCCTGTCGTCCGTCTGTTCCTAAGTCTAGCGCGTTACAGCATCCGCCCTAGGCCCTTGAACCCACAGCCCCACCCATCTTATCCGTCCCTCCACCGCCCCACGCCCCTTCGTCCGTCCTGTTCCCATCAAAGGAACGTTACGCACAGACTGCCTCTGGCGACCCGCGACACGTCGGCGGCGGCGGCGGCGGCGGCGGTGCCTAGAAGCCACACGGCGCAGCATAGCACAGCACGCGCTTCATTTGCACTTGAGACAGCCCGCCGCGCCGCGCCGCGCCGATACGGCAACCGGGGCCATTAGGGGCCCCTCCCCCCTCGCTGCCGCCGCCGCCACCGCCGCTCCCGAGCCGGGCATGCCGCTTTCGCACCGCGCGACACACCGCCCGCCCGCCCGCGACGCAACGCCGGGAGCCTCGCCTGCCTCACTGGGGCATCACTCCGGGTTGACACATTGCTGGCCACATTACTTCAAATCTGGCGCCTTGTCTTCTTTAACAGGGCGTTTGATGTTCTTTGAAGGCGTTTCAGAGGAAAAGATTACACATTTTTAACTTGGCGCCTCCGAGATTTCCCCCAAAAGCCGCGCGAATTTCTTCTCTGTTGATCAAACATTCATTTCTTCGTGCAAAGTTCCTTGAAGTCGATTGTGAGCATCTTTCTATTAGTTTGGAGCGTCACCGAAAGGTCGCACCAGCTCCAGGAGGCGCGACTCCCGCGTAAAATTGGCATTGTCGAAATACTAGGAATTTTCAATCGCAGACGCCTGCTCGCATTGTCACCACAAGCTAATGCGGAAAGCTGAGTAAAAGCGTGTTGAACGTCTTCCAGGTTCGATCCAGAGTGTGCCAGGTACTGGGTGTAGTAGAAACACGAAGCAAAATGCCACGGCATTCGTAAGGAAAGGGTTAATTTCGTTTGAACAGAGGTAACTGTGACAATTTCTTCAATACTCGTAAATTCTTTCTCCAAGTAAGAGTCTTTGTCAATTGTGTGTCGTCTCTTTTCCAGAACACTATTGTCTGACAAAAACTACTGAGATAGAAGAGGCGATGTTCCGTTGCCATTCCCATCAAAATGCTCTCCCAACTTTTCTTCCACTATTTCGCCGCCTGAACACTCCGGGTCTCCGGGGGCGTCGACTGCTGCGGTCACTACTTCTTTAGGTTCAGGGCATGATTCACTGGCGTTGGCTGCAAAGGTCGTAAGTCCCGTAAGTGGAAGTGTACGCTTTTTTCTTTGGGAGGTGGCGGCGATCTACATCCAGGTGAATGGCAAGATCCGGCGCCGACCTACACGACAGGTTTTCCCTTAACAGGTATTTCCCATCAACGTGGCACCGCCCCAACCGAGACACGCTCTAAGCTCGTCCCGGGCGACGCTCGCCCTTCTCTCCGCCTCCCGGGAAGCACTCACAGGCAGCGCCGGGAGCCTCGCACGCCTACCTCCGGGTTTCTGCTGCGGTCACTACTCCCCAACGGCTGCTGCAGGATTGGCTGATTCGTGGTCAGGCCGCGCGAACTGCCGAGGTTATTACTCCCGCAAACTAGTGCGTGTTTTTTATCGCAGAACGTTTCGGTGATCTCTAGTTAGATCGCGATCTACCGTCGGCTAGCGGGATATTCCCCAAACAGGTATCTCTCACCAGCCGGGACAAGCTCTGAGCTCCCCACCGCTCTCCGGACATGTGTCGTATTGTAGTGCATGTTAGTGTAAGTGTATGTAAAGAGCAATGATAGGAAAAGGAAGAGGGTGAAAAGATTGCCCACGGTCCGTGGCCCGTTTGTTAACGTACTGCTCGGACATTCGCCTAGTGTTGATCGGAGAAACGACGGAAAACGGCCGGTCAGAGCAGTCGGTGGCAAGAATTCTCCTCCAGAGAGCGACAGAACTCGACCTAGCAATCATGCTAGAGTCAAATATCCTGCCACCGTGTGGAGTGTAGCCCTAGAACCTCCCGGTCAGAGGCACTGCAGTGACATCAATTGATGCCGTGAGCCACCTCTCCCAGTAACTTCGCTCGTAACCTAGCTGTGTAGGTAGTGTGGAAAATGCTGCCCCCGTGGGGAGTGTAACTCTAGGACCTCCCGGTCAGAGGCACTGCAGTGACATCAGTTGACGCCCTGAGCCACCTCTCCCGAGGAACAGCAGCGTCCGCGTGTACGGATAGCCAGCGCCGCACGTAAATCGGGAGAAACTCCCGCGGCGCCGCCGCATCCGGGCAGCACATCACCGCGCCTGCCAATCCGTCGGCGGCGGCCGCCGCGGCGCGAACGGCGTCCGGCGACCGGCCCCGTTAGCGACAAGCGCAGTCGCGAAGCGGGCGGGCTCCTCGCGCATGCGCGCACGCTCCCGCGCGCTCGCGCGGAATACGGACGAGGGAAGAGCGGCCCCCGGGTGACGTATGGTGCCGCGGCGAGGCGTCCTCGCAAACGGTCACCGCCACACGGTGGGCCCCAACCGGTCAAGGGGCGGGCACAAACTCAGCACTTCAAACCCTCCCCCCCAAAAAGGTGGCTCAACTGATGTCACTGCAGTGCCTCCCACCGAGATGTCCTAGGGTTACACTGCCCACGGTGAGAGGATTTTTCATAGTACCTACACAGCTAGGTCGAATTCAGACCCTGTGGCCCACGCCCACACCATAACAGGTGGCTCAGGGAATTAGCTGATGTCACTGCGGTGCCTGACCGGGAGGTTCTGGAGTTACACCTCACACGGCAGTCCGATTTTCAACACTTTGGCACTTTGGGCGGATTTAGCCGCTGTCTGGAGGAGAATTCTAGCGGCCGGCTGCTCTGATCGATGGTTTCTCCGATTCACACCAGGCGAATGCCGGAACAGTACCCTAAGAAACGGACCACGGAACGTGCGCGATCGTTTTTTCCTGTTCCTTCTACACTCACCCCTTAAACACTATTATCCTAACATGCACTACACTACTACACAAGTCGGGAGCTTAGACCTTGTTCCGACGGTGACGATGCCCCGCTGGAGGGAGATACTTGGTTAGAGAAAACCCCGCTAGCCGACATAAGGTTGGCGCTGGTTCCTGCCATCCAGTGGGGGACGATGACTACACTTCCGAGACTAATGACGTGAGCAATTGACGCGCCCGGAATCATTACCAACCAAACAATCAATATCCGACAGGTAAGTGTAGATTCGAGAACACTCCCCGCGAGCCTGCAACCCGACAGAACAAACGTTTTGGCGCAGAAGGAAATATACGTGAATTACGGTTATCTGATTCATTCATTTTAGATAGCAAGAGCAATATGTTCCGATGGCCCAACATTCATACAAGAATAATCACTCCCAAAAAGTTCGTTTTACATTTTCAATGTTTCAACCCATATACTATTTTCACAATCGTTAAGAAAAGAAAGCGATTACAGATGATTTTCTTTTCTAAATATCGTATTTGCGTTTCAAAAACCAATTTTGTTTTTATCATCAGGCTGTAATAAATTCATTTAAATACATTTCGTACAGTTATATATATAAGTAAAATAGTACAAAATATGATAGTGAAAATATGGGATCGCATATTGAAACAGTAAACGAGATTTTAAATTAAATGACAGTTGAAATAACATGAACTACTCTAGTAAAAAACTAATCCTTTAGTTGATTTTTCTAGTTACGCTGAGAAAATAGTTTTATACTTACTTTCAAATTACCTACACTAACAGAACTGGCAGTCAGAAACAGTTCTTTTATTTTCCTTACCAGAAACTAATTCCCGTATGTGAATAATTCTAACTTGTGCATTGTTTGGGCCTTCTTGCAAATCCCTTAGCAGTAATAGCGTTGCCAGTCCACAGTCGGTACCACTGAAGAGTCTTGCACGGTCCGCGCGTGATATTTACTTCCTTTCTTACACACACTTCCACCAACAAACAGTTTACTACCACACGTGTCAGGAGAGCGGCCGGAAGCTTAGAGCTCGTCTCAGATGGAGAGGTCCGCGGTGGCGATACCTGGTTGGGGAAACCCCACTAGCCGCCGTGTTGACAGGCGCCGGAAATCTCCATACAGCGGAGATCAGCGCCTCCTTCCGCGATAAAAAACAAGCACTACACTTTTGGGACTAATGACTTTAGCAGTTGACGCGCCAGGAATCGCTAATCAATCCTAGTCCCTCTGACCGGGAGAACCTGGGTTCGAGTCTCCACGGGGGCAGGATTTTGGACGCTACCTTGTTGGCTAGGTCGAATTCAGTCGCTATCTGGAGGAGAATTCTAGCGGCTGGCGGCTCTGATCGGTACTTTTACGTGGTTTCTACGGACCGCGCACGATACTCATTCCTCTTACTTGTTCTATCCACACACCCTAACACACACACACACACACACACACACACACACTTATACTAACACGCACTATACTACCACACATGACGGGGGGAGACTCGACAGGAGCTAAGAGCTTGTCCCGACTGGGGCGGTGCATCGCTGGTAGGTGATGCCTGGTTAGGGCAAACCTCGATAGCCCTTGTTAGGTAGGGTGGCGCCGGATCCCTCCATAGGGCGGGCGAAAGATCACCGCCACATCCTAGCAAAAACATGCATTACACTTACGGGAATAATGACCCTGGCAGTTGACGTGCCCGGAATCACTAAATAATCAATCCCACACACACGCGCGCACACGTGGTGCCAGATGCTACCTGGTTAATCACAGCCCCCCACCCCCACTTTTAACAAAAGCCCGCGACATTCCTGCGTTGGCGGCCCAAAGCCGCCTTCAGCGACCCTCGCAGAAGCCAATTTATTACGCGGCACCCGGACGAACGCTCGCCGTTGCTCTTCGTATCTCGCGCGACCTTCGACCCCGCCGCCCTTGAGCCCGCTCGCCCGCCCGCCCGCCGATTTTTATCCCCCGCCCCGGCCACGTGACTGCCGTGAGCCATCGCCCGCCCGGTGCCGCTGGATCGCCCGGCATGCTTCTGGGCGGCCTCTCGCCGCGCCGCCCGCCCATTCGTCTGCTGCCCCCCCCCTCCCCCCGAGTAGCGCGGGTCGAGCGCGCCGGCGCGGTAGGCAACCCGCTCGGCGTCCGCGATGCGCGGGTTGCACGTATTGGTGGGATGCAGGAGTAGACAAGGCGTGTTTTGTTCCGGTCCAGATCTTGGACGGGTGGGTCGCTTGTGGGTGGTGGGACGCGAAGGCAATTCGGGAGGTACGTAAGTTGGTATGGAGATAAACTTAAATCGAAGTGGGTCACCCGTAGAGGATACACTGAAAAGTAGAGGTAATGAACGAGCGGAACTCAGAATGTTCGAACTGTTTTATAATCATAATAATAATAATAATAATAATAATAATAATAATAATAATAATAATAATAATAATAAAAAACTGTCCTTTGTTTATAAATCATACTGCGCAGAGTTGTAACTCCGGTTTCCATTTTAAATCCTTATGTAATAATATGACCTACTGAAGTAATTTGCATTTATCCGTCCGTCACTCCAGGTTGCGTCATTTTCTGTCAACCAATCGATACTAATGAGGTGGCATTCAACGCATCTCCGTCTCATGTGTGAAACTGATCCTCTTTTGAGTATACACACATAAAATTCTCTAAAAATGTGTTTTTAAGCAACTAAAATGCGTTTTGTGTGAATCACGGCATACTAAGATTTGTTTAACCGTGGACTTGACATAAATCAGCTGTTCACGGGGTCGTGAACCTTTCCATTGTGACTTCACTGTAGCGACATATAAGCTACCGATTGGCTGAAACCACGACAGCTGATTTATGTCATGTGCACGACTAAACAAATCGTACTATACTGAAGTGATTAAGTAGCTCAATCGATTCTTCTCGACAAGACAAATCGATTAGCACAATTCTCAACCGATTTCCTCTAGCATAGTTGGGAAGAATTCTAGAAAAACGCGAGTTAACGCACCTATACGTACTTTGGTGAAACGTTGCGAAATAATTTACTAACTTCCCAACACCCACATACATCGTTACGACTTGATTCATCAGATTAAGGCTAATTCAACTTCATTTCGCAATGAATCAAAACATTAAACAACAATTTTAGTCGATATTTTTTATGTAATCAACACGTTTCAGTCATTACGCATAACATTTATTCCATGTCTCTTTTATGATCCAAGTTCGTACAAGTCCCAGAAACGCCCTCTCTACATGACCTTTTACAAGCATATATCATTTGTTCTTAGACACTCTGTGTAGTCTGGTTTCCGCTGCCCAACGCGGTTTAGTCCGCGATCATCGGCCTCTTTACATAACCTAGTAGTTTCTCACATTTACTCTAAGACACGCATATAATCCAAGTTCACGCTTTGCTACGTTTCAGATGACGATCCCCGACGACTCTACATGATCGCCTAGAAGTTCATACCATTTATTCTGAGGCTTCCTGCAGAGTTTAAGTTTGGGCTTTGCGACACGTTTGGCACGACGATCCCCTCCCCCCTGCATGCCTATAGTATAGAGAGGGATTGCTATAAGAAGGGACCGATTTGACAGCTCCTGGTCGCAACAAAACTGCAAATTATGTCCATGTGTCCGGTTCCTCAATTTATTCATTAGCATTTGTATCAGTTGTAAATGGTTTCGGCGCTACCTCTTCCAATGTTAGTTAATTCTTATTTTACATGGCGAGGCTCAGACCATCGTGCCCGCCCTCCCGTCTGGCCACGCAAATTTCGCTACGCTCATTTCACGAACTAGCGAAGAAAGTAGGAATTATGTCGAGCGAAAGGCGAGTTTCGGATTTAGCTCAGCACCTTTAGGTTTGAGGATCTTCTACATGGAGGACCTTTCGGCGACAACGTACAAAGAAATGCATCAGGTAAAACGTTGCGGCGAGTGTCCCAGTGGAAAGACCTCCATTTAAACCAATGCTTTGCTAGCGGAATCCCTCACGGGCTGCTCGTGGCAAGCGTCCGCCCCCGAAAGGCACCGTAGCCTGAATCCGCCGCACGTGGGAAAACCTCCATTTAAAACAAAGCTTTGCTACTGGTGGCGCGGAATCCCTCGCGGCAAGCATCTGTCGCCTAAAACCACAGCAGCGAAAAGCCGACGCACGTGGAGGACCTTCATTTAAACCAATACTCTGCTACCAGCCTCGGTGTACGGTGGCTCGCTGCTGTGCCTACGTGTCAAGGGACTCCAAGGGTAAGAGCGAGTGCAGTCGCTCTTCCGAGTGCAGTCGTGCAGGCTTACCTCGGAGAGCTGTCCGTCGGCGTATGCGATGAGCGCCACGCGGTCGGGGTCGAGCAGGCGGGCAGCGGCCGCGGCGGCGGCGGCGCGGTGCGCGGCCGCGGCGGCGGCGGCGCGGCGCGGCGGACGCCGGCGGCGGGCGGGGGCGGCGGGGGCGGCGGCGGCGCCGCCCCGGCGGCTCCACCGCCGCGCGCCACTGCCCGGCTGCTGCAGCGACAGCCAGGGCCGGCCGCCGCCTCGCCCGCCCACGCCCACGCCCGCGCCGCCGCCGTCACAGCTTTCCCGCGCCGGCACACGACCAGCGCGCACACGCCCAGGAGCAGCAGCATCACGCCCAGCACCGTCGCCGCCGACACCAGCAGGATGCTGCTCGTGCTCAGGTAGTCCGCCAGCGTGCGCGGGCTCACTGCGGGCACACCGGGGGAGCGCAGCGGTAAAGTGGGTGCAGCCGCCCCGGTCGCGCCACTCAGGTCGCTGCACCTGAGTTGCGGCACCTGGGTTGCGGACCTATGCGGTGCTTTTATTCGCACCATGCGGAGGAGTCGGGGTCGCGTTACTCAGGCCGCACCTCACGGATTGAGCGACCCTGGTCACGCCACTCGGGTCGCTGCACCTGAGTTGCGGCACATTGACTTCGACACCCGGGTTAAGGACATATGCGTTGCTTTTATTTGCACCATGCGGAGGAGTCGGGGTGGCGTTACTCAGGCCGCACCTCAAGGGTTGAGCGACCCTGGTCACGCCACTCAGGTAGCTGCACCCGGGTTGCGACACGCAGGTCGCGGACCAATGTGTTGATTTAATTCACGTCACGCGGTCTCAGGTCCTGGCACCAAGGAGGCCCACCGCAGAGCGTTGAGACACCTTGGTCCGCGACCTGCGTGTCGCAACCCGTGTGCCGCAACTCGGGTGCAGCGACCAAAGTGGCAGTCTCGGCACTCTGGTTGCTACATCCAGACCTATGTGGTGGTTTCATTCGCGCTACGCGAAGAACTCTGTGCCCTGCCACGAAGGTTGAGCAACCCTGGTCACGCCACTCTGGTCGCTGCACCCGAGTTGCGGCATCCGGGTTGCGACACGCAGGTCGCAGACCAATTTGGTAATTTAATTCACGTTACGCGAAAGTCTCGGTTCCTGGCACCAAGGTGGCCCACCGCAGAGGGTTAAGACACCTTGGTCTCGGCACTCAGGTTGCTACATCCAGACCTATGTGGTGGTTTCATTCGCGCGAAGAGCTCGGGGTCCTGGCACGAAGGTGGCGTCCCTCAGGGGGTTAAGACACCCTGGTCGCGGCACTCAGGTCACCAATGATGAAACTTCTTTCGCGCCACTTCGCGCACAAGCAAAATGGTAACTTGATCAAAAAAATATTAAACAACCAGTAATTGCAGGAACGTTTGCTGACGATTTAACAAGTCTATATAGAGGGAAAAACATTATTTCTACCAAAGCCCTGATTCAAAATGCACTCAGCAACCTCCATGACTGGTGCCAAGAGACTGGCTTCACGTACTCTTTCCAGAAACGGGAATGTTTTTTTTTCCTCAAGACATCAAGTTATAAACGGCTGACTCTGACATTGGGGTGTAAACCACTAACGTTTGTTAGAAAAATCAAGATACTATTACTGTAAGTTGATTTTAAATTAACATGCAAAACTCGCATTAATTATAACAAATGGAAGAGAAGAATGAACATCTTGAAATCTCTTGCATTCAAAACCTGGAGAACTGATAAGGAAGTGCTTCTCCGAACCTACAGAACAATAATTCGCACAAAAATTGAATTATGGATGCACATTGTACATGTTAAGGGGAAAATATCTCAAACAATTAGACACAGTCCATAACCAAGCTTTGAGTATAGCTACCGGATGTTTCCACAATCAGTAGGATCTTAATTGCGCCTCAAGAAGTTCCATTAGCTCATAGGTGAAAATCTCTATCATTTAATTATGCACTTAAATCAGCTATGTCAAAATAACAATAATTTATAAAGATGTTTTCCCTAAGTCTCAGAGTTCTAATGACATAACCCCTCAGTATGCACCTTTGTACAAAACGATTAAAAACATTTTCAAAGAAATTGATTTTGAAATACCCGAAATGGAAACAAAGAGAATCTGCAATATTCCTCCATGGATTCTTTGTACTATTAATACTGACTCAACCCTCAGGGAATATAAAAAGAAAAATTAACAACAGAAGAATGGAACAGTAAATTCACTGAGCTCTGCAACAAATACAATAACTACAGCCAAACCTACACTGGCTGGTGAAAATTGAAATTGAAGTCGGATCAGGCATTTATTTGCACTATTTCAAATTAAAACACTCTCCACCCACTAACTTCAATAAAAACTGCAGAATTGTATTCCAGATTACTCTCCTTAAGAGATATTAAAATCTTCTTAGAACCAAAACTCTATCATATTTACAGTTGAAGAAACAAACCGCAAATCAGCATCGGAAATAAATAACTCCATTCACAAAATCCATTACAATATAACAAAATCAGTCAAAGAAAATTGTGATCGCAAGGATACCAGATTACAAATAAATTTGTAGTAATGAAATCGCTAATTTAGAGGCTAAAATTGCTGCAACGAGTATTATCCAGTTTTACCCAAACAATTAAATTTGAAGATTTCTGGGAAAACATCAATCACAAATTAAACCTTCATTGGAACAGCTTTTGGTGCACATATAAATCCAGCAACATTCATCAGTCAAAGAGCACATTTTTCTTATTAAATGTCAATAAGAAAATTGAACACAGGGAGTGAACAGTTCTTTCAAGACTGTGATGTAGGCATTCCAAATTAATCCATCTGTGATCATGCCTTTCAGAAATATGATATGGACATTTGAAATTAAGCCATCTATACCTATTGCACAAATCATCTCCACTGACATGCAAATATTGGAATACCAAACTTGACCGTGAACACATTTTTAAAGTATGCTATAGATATAACTATTAGTGGCAGTCATTTGGATTCAAACACGATGTTAACCTACAGTTAACGGAAGATCAAGATAAAATAATAAACTTTCATAAAGCCATCAATATATTTACTGAAATTTAAGCTCATTGTTTTATATAAATTTATTCCTCCTAAGTATGCGTTAATACCTGTTAAAGTATTTTGTAAAGTTAAACTGTAATATTGTTTCACCAAATTTCATAATTTCTGTAATCACACCATAATGCAATACAATATATGTAGTAGATGCTAAAAACCAAGTTGTTAATGCGACTATAAATAAATTTAATTTGTTTAAAAATTATATTTTATGAAACAAGTGTTTATTTTCCCTGCTCCCCAAGTTTCATAAGATTTTGAAGGTTGAATTATCATTCTAAGAACACAAAAACAGAACATATGAAGTGGAAATGGTTTTAACTAAAAAGAATCTAAGGGTATTTAAGACAAAGGCAGCCAACAATCAGTATTTTCTTGAACATCTATGAAATTTTTAAAATGTGACTAACTTTACTAGTTTTAGTGAAGTTAGTCCTGTTCTTAAACTTTTATAAATGAAAATATTGGTTTTCATCTGTCTTGGATTGTCTTAAATACCAATAGATACTGTTTTATTAAAACAAATACAGTAGACAATCGTGTGGATTAGAAATAAATCTGCATAAAATGGACCTCTAACCAAACTGGTGAATCTGAAGAAGGCAAAACTGGCTAAAGAGGAAACAACAAAGTCTGTTGTCAAAAGACAAAGTACAAAAGACCTGTGCCAAAAGTACAGCCTGATTTCATGGGGTGCTATATGTTTCAATAGTCTTTCCCCACAACACCCAAATTCTGTCCTTAGAAAGCAAAGGCTCCCATTTTATTTCTTTCATGCACTTCCCAAGCGGATGGCACGATCTGAAGTCGAAGTTCATGCCTTTCGTACTTTAGAAATAGAAGCTTTAATCCTTCGACTATTTCTCCATTTCTTACGTGCACTCTGTTTGGGATCAGATTTAAACCTACACATATTACTCAATAGTGTGCTTGTATTTCATGCCCAAATGCTATCTGGAATTATTAATTAAGAAAACGATGCAATTTATTTGCTTCGTTTACTATATTTTTCTCAAAAAAATTCCAAATAAACATTCTAGCATCTCCTAGCTATGTATACATGCCATACTAGCATGAGAATGACTTATACAAAGCCACTAACAAATAATGTAATAAATAAATATGCCAGATTATCATTCAGAGACAAGAACGTAAATTTATAAAATGGAATTGGACACGTTTTTAGATTTTTTCTCATAATTCAGACCTCTAACACAGAATTTATTCGGGAGCATTTCTGACCCCAACTGCATAAAAATCAAATTACTTCAAACTAAGAAAACCTAAAAAACTGACAAGTTTATAACACATGTATAACTGGACATTAATGGCGTATTTAAAAGGAGAAATGCATGTGAATAATTTTCAAAATAGTTCAAATAAGTTGCAAAACATTATTTCCACCTGGAGTCAGAAATGACCCCATACGAAAGTCTAAATGTTAATTTTTCATTTCAAAGCTTCTTCAGGTAGCATAGACATCCATGTTACTCCAGTTTGCCTTCTTCTTCTTCTTCTTCTTCTTCTTCTTCTGCACTACGAGGATAGTAGCTGCCTGTTCCCTTTTCACACAATGAACCATCTTCTACGTAGTCTTCCTACATTCCTTCTCCCTCTTGACATGTACTGAAGCATTTGTTTAGGTAGCTTATTTCGCTTCATTCTTTCTAAATGTTTTTTCCATTCTTGTTTACACTGTTGCATAGAATCGTTTAAGCTAAATGTATTTAGTAATTCTTTTCTTATATCTTCATTTCTTTGTTTGTCTAGCAAAGTTCAACCTTCTACTCTCCTTAAAAATTTCATCTCTATAGCTTGAATATACGATTTTTATTTTTGAGAGAATCCAATTTTCGCTTTCATGTAGGACTACTGGTGTTGCTATTGTTTAATAAAATTTCAACATTCTATCTTTAGGAGAATGTTGAGAATTCCCTGGACTGACAAAGTGTGAAATGACTCTAAAGAAAGGAATGATATGCATCAAGAGATATTAAGAAGTATTAAAATTACAAAAATACTTGGACATAGGAATAAACATTGTTCTTGAGTTTAGGTCATTATAAAAATAAAAAATAAATAAAAGACCGAATTCTACATTCTTTCTTTTCTTTAAAAAAAAAAAAAAAAAAGATAAGAAGAAAAGAATGTAGAATTTGTCTTTTTCTGTAATGATCGTAACTCAAGAATCATACCTATTCTTATTTAACTCCAGAGGTAAAACAACAACAACAACAACAACAACAACAACAACAACAAATACTGACAATACTTGAACATTTTCTTACTAACTTTAAATAAGAACTTTTATAACTTCAAGA